AGGGTTTTTTAGTTGAAAAGTGATGTTTAATAAACCCACTTCTTCTTTAAGAAAACAAATTTGTTTTTCTTTTTTAAGAAGAATATCTTTAACTTCATTAATCATCCTAGTATGAGGATCAGTAATGAATTCAAAAGTAATTCTTTTATTATTAATAATGGAGGTAATTCCCTTTTGATCAACATTAATTAGAGGCATAATTTTATGCAGAAAGGGAGTTCCTAATATAATTCTATGAGTTAAGTTTTTCACAAGAATAAAGTGAGTGGGTAAACAAATATCTTTGTTACAAACATAAGCATTAGACAGTTTATAATTAACCGTGAGTTTATCTCCTCCAGCTTGTGTAAGAGATTGAGTAGTTTTATCAAAATACTTAGTGGGAATAATTCCCTCTTGAAGGCAGTTTAAATCAGCGCCACTATCAATAAGGGCAACTTCATTTTCTAATATGAAATTTCTATTAATCACTAAAGTTATTCTAACAAACCATTTTTGGGAGGTCACTCTATCAATGAGGGAAAGGAAATCATCACTAGGTGAAGGATTACTAGTTGAAGCTATTTCTTCAACCCTTGAATTATTGGACTCTAAAAAAGTGAGCCTTTGAGATAAACCATAGTTTTCTTTTTTAATTTGAGCTATCTCATTTTTTAAGAGATTTATTTCTCTATTTAAATCCATAATAGAAACAGGAGTTTCACGAATGTTAGACTGTCTAAATCTAGACAAAACCTCACTTAATTGGTAAGGTGCTTCTGTAATAATAGGAGATTCTCTTTTAGAGTTTTCTTGGATTAGAACCTCAAGCATTTTTCTTTTAAGGTTTTTATCAGAAATGGACTCTATAGCCTTTATAGCTCCATCCTGTTCTGAGGTTAAAACATTTAACCCATTCATATCTACTATTGATTTCCAGTAATCTAATTGATTACATTGACAATTATTATTGTTAGAAGATTCAGATGAGTAATCAGAAGAAGATTCATAAATCATATTAATATCTTCTTCGGAAGAGTATTCTTCAGAATCAGATTTGAGAAGTAAAACTTTCTCTAATTGAGAACGTAATTGTTCATCTTCTATCTCATTAAGAGCTTTTTTAGTCCAACATTGGTTGGCATAATGGCCAGGTTTGCCACATTTATGACATGTTATGTCAAGCCTTTTGGCTTTTCTTTTACCTTTAGGGTCAAAAGATTTTTCTTTAGGTCTACTCTTATTGTAGTGGCCCCTTTTCTTATTCTTATAAGAATTTTTATAAGAATTTTTTGGCTTATCCCTATAAGGTTTATTGCGGAAAATTTTTTCTTTTTTCTTTTTATTATCTGGAGATTTTCCAAGATCAAAAGCAAATTGCTCACAAAATTCACCAATTTGGTGTTTTTCAGAAAGCTTTTGCTTTTTGAGTTGATTTCTAAGCTTTATGTCATTACATAAAGTTAATCCTTCATTAACACAAGTGCTAATTATATGACCATAAGTAAGATCTGAAAAATTTATATTTATCCCATCATTTTTCTGTCTTAAGGATTGTCTAACTTTTTCTGAAAAGAAATGAGGTAATCCATCAATAAATTTTGCTTTCCAATGCAAAGAATTGGGATTGTTTAATTGATAAACTCTTGAAAGAAAAGTATCCTTATACCATCTAAAGTGGGTGAGAGAAGGACACCTAAGGTTTTGGAGAAGTGTCTGGATTTTTTCTCCAATGGGGACATTGGTTCCTACAAAATGTTGTAAGATGGAGAGACACAGTGTATACACTGCATCTTCTTCTCCTGTGGTGGTTGTAGCCACAATAGTGCTCGTACTAGTTCTTGGTTCGCTCTTAACGATTTTTTTATGATTAAGAATCTCTAATTTTTGAGATTCAGTGAGGTAATGATCCCACCAGCCTCTAAGTTGGCCAACAAATCCTGTTGTTATAAAGGATGCTATTGAAGCATCAGAATTTCCATGTTGCTTGCAAACAGTAGAGTACATGATCATCCTATGGATAGTATCTATAATTTGTTTGTCATTAAGACCATCAACATTCCATTCATAAATGGCTTTTCCTGAATAAGAATTCTGGAAAGGTTCTGATTCCTCAAAAAGCAAATCTTGCGGTGAGGGACGCTTGTAATAATACTTTTCTATAGGCCTTGGGGAATAAACAGGATTTATACTATTAGTATTATTAATACTATTAGTATTAATATCAAGGTTACTAATGTCTAAATTAGCAAACATATCAGCAAGCTGGTCAATATGGTTGTCATTATTATCCTCAGAATAATCTTCATGGGACATGACAGTGATATTAAGTCCTTTTAGTTTTTGTTCTAAAATACGAACAAATTCTTCTCCGTTAGTTTCCATTTTAAATCCTTCTATGGAAACAGGAGGTTGTACTATAGGAACATCCGAAATAGTGGATGTGGATATTTGGTCTTTAGGTTTACTTATGTGGTCAATAATGATATCTTGACGCTCTATTTGTTTTTCTAAAAGATCTTTTATGGATAAGAGATCTTTTTCCATGGAGATAAATTGTTCTCCTAAGCAAACAAGGTAAGCATTGGTATAATTTTGAGACCTAATAACTGAATTTAATTCCTTAAGAGTAACTTGATTTTGTTCAACTCTTTGTAACTGAAGGCTAAGGTAAGGGGTAGCTTCAGTATTTTGACTCAAACTTATTGTTTGTTCAGGGGGAAAAGGAGATTCCATTATTTCTCCTCTAATATTTTCCCAAGGTCTTTGTAACACAAGAATTTCTTCTTGCTTTTTATTTATAAAGTAATTAACAAACCATTTAACAAAAGGAACAAAATCTTGCTCAAGGTTCATTTGAGTGTAATACTCATCTTTAAATTGGGCTAATTCAGGTTTTGAAAATTTTTTAAAAAACCAATTTCTAAATTGAGAGTATCTCTCATGTTGAAACTCATCATTGATGAGTTGTCTCATCTTACTACCAGGGGAGTAATCTATCATTATAATTGGAAATCCATATCTGACTGAGTAGGTGATTCTACTCTTGGAGTATGAGGTCTTTGATAAATTCCATGGGGAACTCTATTTTCGCTTAGTCTTATATTCTCAACGACCTCTATTTCTTCTCTTATTTGAGAAGTAGAAGGTCTAGGTAATTGGCTAGGAGCTGTGTAAAATTCACTAACTGAGTGCCTAGCAGATAGGGACCTGGGTATTCTAGTTATTCTTTTTGAAGTGAAATTTATTTCTAAATCTCCTTCAGTAGTCTGAATAATTTGGTCTATATCCCTATTAAGGATAGGTTCAGGATCTATTTCCTGGGGGAGAGACCATGTCTCTGGGAAGTTTATTTCATCCCACTTTATTAACCTATTGGTTGCAACATTGGATGTTAATAAATTGGTTTGAACCAAAGTAGTGGTTCCAGGAAATGATAAATGCTTTGCTTTAGGATTAAGCGTAGTAAGAACCTTATAGTAGATTCTATAGCATATTGCTATAATTTCACTTCCCGGTTTAAAATTATAACCATTAGTATGAACTGTTAATTGCATAGCATCTAATAAATTTTTATCAGATAAAGATAGATTTAAATTAGGTGAGACATCAAAGTAAACTGGTCCATGACACAGACTTGTCTCAACCATAGCAGCTAAAGATTGTTTGAAATCTTTACATCTACCATCTCTAACATAAGCCATTATGCTAGAATTTAAACCCAATAATGTTAAAGGTTTTAAAGCAATTTGAACCAATCCAATATGGATAAAATTATAATTTTTAAAAGGTTTCAAATCTTTTTTAGTTAACAGTTTTATTGTCTGAGTTTCTTTAGAAATTTGAATTGTTTGCTCTAAAGTTTTAACAGCAAAACGAGAAAAAACATCTATCTTACCAAATCTATAAATTTGATTAGAAGGAACTGAGGGTATAACCCATCTGTTGAGTTTATCCATATTTTTTGGATATTCAATTAATTCTTCATTTTTTATTAAATTATTTTGATGATTATCATCATCAGAATCCATAGGGCAATAGGCTAAGAATGTTGTGATTGGTTGATATGCAAAGTTAAATCTAAATAGATAACTTGGACTCATAACATAATTTTAGCTAAAACAACAACCATTTAAAAGTCATCTAAGCAAACAACAAATTGTTTAACTATCAACCCAAAGGGATAGAAGGATTTCTCCCAAATCAAAGATGTCAAAATGTTTTTAGCAAAAATTTTCTTTTTTGAAATCATCAACAACTCCCTTCCCCGGGAAAAAAAAAAGATGAATGTTTAAGAAAACACTAAAAACACTTTTTAGTTTTTAAAAACACTTTGAAAAGGTTGTTTGCTAGTTAATAACATGTTATGAGAAAAAGTTACCTACTTAGTTTTGTCTAAGCATAATCAACCTCTCACAACATAAATTTAGCCACTAATTTTCATGATAAATTAAGAAATATACCTTAGATTATATATATATTTATATATATATATATATATATATTTATATATATATATATATATATTTATATATATATATATATATATATATATATATATATATATATATATATATATATATATATATATATATATATATATATATATATATATATATATATATATATATATATATATATATATATATATATATATATCCAGACTTGTGAATACTTGTTCAATATTAAGAATTAGAACATTTAATTAATATTTTTTTTATTGAATGTATTTTAAATAAAATATATAAAGAATTAGCACATTTAATTACTATTTTTTAAAAAATATGTTTAAATTCTAAAATAATAAAATATCAAGAGATATTTTTGAAACATTAATTGAAAGTTAAATAAATTATCATTATTTTCTCATAAAATATTAATCGAAATTGATTGAATAAAAGTATAATAAAAAAATTGTAGAACACATATAATTAAAAAAGAGAAAGGGGGTAAAGACGCAGTAAAGCATAGTTGCAGTTACTCTCTCTTCCGTCGAACTCGAATGCTGCTTCTCTGAAACCATGACTAGCTCTTCAACTTCCTCTCGCAAGGTTTCTTCCCTTTTCATCCCAATTTTCCAATTTATCTTTTCCCTTTTTTTTTTATTATTTTTTTTTTCATTTTTTGTTGTTGTTGTTGTTGTTGTGGGAATTCATGTTGTTCAGAATCTCAGTAAGATTGCCTGCAATAGGCTTCAGAAAGAACTCACCGAGTGGCAGACTAGTCCTCCTACCGGTTTCAACTACAAAGTCAGTGATAATCTCCAAAGGTATTCATTTCACTCACAAATTTTGATTTCTTTTTACATTCAATTGGTGTGTTGCTTTGTTTTAGCCTAATTTTTGAAATTGGTGAAATGGGTTTTATGCTAATGAGTTTAGGTTTGTTTTCCCCTTTTCAAGTTTTGTTTTTTATTAGGTTTGTTGATGTTTTTGGTTTGATAATTTGGATGGTTTATTCACTTTCAATTTAAATATGTGGTTGATTATGTTCGATGAATGGTTATGAATATAAGACGGTGTCACAACTCATTAACCGTCTATCGAACACATTTAATAGTAATTTTGAACTTCATTAAACACAATTTGTATGATTAATCGATATATGTATGTATGTATGAATGTATGTTTGGATTGAACGTATGACATTTGTGGTTAAAAATACTCAAAATCGTGGTTAATTGTGTTCAATTAATTTGTTATATTCGTTAACCATTCACCGAACATGATTAACCACATATTTGAAATAGGCTAACCTTCCAAATTGATGCCAATTTTGTGTGTTAAGAATATGTGATTTGGCCTAACTTAACCATACAAAATCGGTTTGTAAGGTGACAATTGCCTCCACTTATAAACACATGTCCAAACTATATATTGTCTGATGTGAGACTCTTAACACACCCCCTCACGCTCAAGACCGGACATTTGGAGCGTGGAAATAAATGGGGTTTGACCCGATAGCTGGTCCATTTGATCTTAAACGAGACTCTAATACAATGTTAAGAATGTGTGGTTTGGCCTAACTCGATCCTACAAAACCGGCTTGTAGGGTGAGGATTGCTCCCATTTATAAGCACATGTTTAGGCCATATATTGTCCGATGTGAGACTCTTAATATTGTGTGTCGAAATATTATTTCTCTTCTATTAATTGAAGGTTTGTTATTTTGGTTCTCAAAGGTGGGTTATTGAAGTAGTTGGTGCTCCTGGGACACTTTATGCTAATGAGACTTACAAGCTTCAGGTCGATTTCCCGGAGCATTACCCAATGGAAGCTCCACAGGTTGTTAATAAGCAGATGGATTAAGGTTTTCTTTACAGTTTCACCATTTTATGGCTAGTTTTACTCTGACTTTTGTTATGAATGGTTATTTACAGGTCATATTTATGAATCCGGCTCCAATGCATCCACATATCTATAGCAATGGGCATATTTGTTTAGGTATGCTGTTTACTCTTTGTTTTAGGGGAGAACAATTCCTTAGAGATCAATCTTTCACAAATTTGTGTTTATCTCTGTCATCATAAATATCATTAAACTTAATAGGATCCCAAATATAGTTTTATGCATGTAAAGAAAGAGATAGACACAAAAAGTTTGGCAAGGTACTGTGAAGTTTTTGACATTTACTCAAATTCATAAGATATTCCCTTGGTTTTTGGTTACCTTTTTTATTGTGTTTTGTTGAGTTTTCTAGCACAGCTTTCAATGCAGTTTTATGTGTTACTAGTGTCAGTGTTTAATGGTTTGTTTGTATCATCTTTTCTGCCACTTTTTTTTTACTGTTACGATCTGGTGAACGTTTCTTCATTGCCCCAAGTTTCCTTTTAAGTCATCACATTCAGGTCTATTATTTCTTGCTAAAATTTTGTTAGAAAAAACATATAAATTGACTTTGAATATAAAGGTATTGCTCAAACTAAAGGGAAAACTTTACGGCACATCTATAAGACTGACAATGTTGTATAGGATAAGTGTTGAAAAATGGGCAGTGAAGGTCAACACGAGAGTAAACTCAGTGTAGCGGAGATGAAAATGTTGTGTTGGATGAAAATACTAGACGAGATAGGATTAAGAATGAGAGCATTAGAGGGAGGGTTGTGGTAGTACTTATGGCCAAAAACTATTGTTTAATCTCGACTTAGGTGGTTTGGACATGTGTAAAGGAGACTTGTAGATTTCATAGTAAGGAAAGTATACCAAATGGAAGAAAGCTCAATTGCTAAAGGCAAAGGAAGCCCAAGAAAAGCTATAGATGAAACTATTAAGAAAGTGAGGCCAATGATTTGACTAAAAATATGATTTATGATAGAATATAATGTTTTGGATTGATCCACATAGCCGATCCAACCTAGTGGGATAAGACTTGGTTTTTGTTGAATATGTTGACACTGAATTTGAAGTATAACTGAGTAGGATATAGTAAAGCTCTGATAATATGATATGCACAAGGAATAAATGAAAGCTTGCATGTTGAGTCTCCCATAAGTTTCTCCAATATTTTTATGCCTGAAAATCTTGTTTTCATTTTTCAAAATAAAACTTCTGAGTTTCGACATGTAATTGCTTCTCTTGTTTTATTTGTTTCTTCCTATCTATTACTGGGAGGACTCATTGGGAGTTAACGCATCAAAAATGCTTAAGAAACTTTCTAATGAAATATATATGCTTCTCTTAGAGTTATATTGCATGGTTTGTCAAGATTCATCTGAAAACCCTTTTATATTCTCTTGTTTGCTTATCAGACAAATGCTACTTGATTTTTATGCAGAGTTTCTATCTGTAATTTTTCTCAATATTAATTGAGATGGAATTAAGGGTGACAACAGAAAGTGGAAATGAAAGTAAAGATTGCGCTGTTACTGTTATTTCATTTGTTAATTTAAGCCCTTCTTGTCTAGGTATCGATGAGTGGAATCAATCACTTTATATTTTATGGTAGCATGGACAAATTATCTTGTTTTGAAAATAATTCTGTCAGAGGTTAATTGTGCGGGAGGAAGTTAAGAACCATTAGCTTGTGTCTCTACTTGGTAGAAAATAGTTCAGCTTTAACCGTTCTGTTTTGTGATTTAATAATGGGATATTTACCTTGTCATAATAGATAAATTTCTCATTTTGTAAGAGTAAATCACCGAAGTTTCGTTTCTTTTTGTATAATATACGAGAAGGCAGGCTAAAATAAAAACATGATTGATTAGGGTCTGCTTTTTGGTTGTGAGCTGACATTTGATATGCTTTATGAAATTATGCAGATATATTGTATGATTCATGGTCCCCTGCTATGACTGTTAGTTCTGTATGTATCAGCATTCTCTCAATGCTTTCAAGCTCAACTGTAAAGGTGTGAATCTATTGTACATATAATGCGTTTATTTTTCCATATAATTTCAGTATGTATATATATACACACACACACACACGCACGCACACGTAACCATACGTGTGCATCATTTAGTGTGTTACATCATCCATTGGTTTTCTATATCAATTTACTTAACACTGTCTTGATCTCTTCTACAGCAACGCCCTGAAGATAATGACCGCTATGTAAAGAACTGTAGAAATGGCAGATCTCCCAAGGAGACAAGGTGGTGGTTCCATGATGATAAAGTATAATAACCGGTAATAAATTCACAAAATTAGATAGAGGATTATCCTTTCAAAAGGGAAAAATATGAAGTGGAGAAAGGCATTTTGAGAAACTAGGATGCCTTTCAACGCGTAACTCTCTTGTAAATTGGAATTACCTCTCATTTGATAATATGAGGAAACAAACTCAGATTATTGTGTTTAACTTGCATGTCTGGTAAATGGTCCTTTTTATTGATTTTCTTTCTAATGATTTTATGCCATGCCTTTTTACTGTTTCCTACTCGAGGTAGTGGTGTGCTAAAGAAGTGATTTTTATACCCTTTCTCGCATGGACGATGTAACAGGGTGGTCTTACATGTTAGTATTAGTACTCTAGATGAAGGGTGTAATATGCATGTAGGTGAGTTATCAGATGTATTAGTTATTAGCAAGTAGTGTATAGATACATAGGGAACAAATTGGTAAACTCCTTTTTTCTCTTTTCCATCCTTTCCTAGACCTCACCACTGTCCCTGTACTCCTCCAACCCCCTCCTCAATTAAACCCACCGCTCTGAATCTTAGAAAAAATTAGCATATAGCCAAAACAAACCTTGATTTAGGGTGAGAGAGTTCAAAGATTAAGATGCTATATGGTAACACAATAGAAAAACAAAGAGACGCTTATAGAACTAACATAATCAACCATAACAACGGTTTAAAGAATAATCAATCACAGGTAGATTTTTGTAACTTAAGCAAATAATATGAAAGCATGTTTGGAATTGCAGTGAAAGACGTCTAAGCACACGGTGGTAGCAGCTCTGAAGCTACTACTTGAAGCTTTTCAAATTACAACAAACCCTAATGTATTTCAAATCAACATATATTTGAGATAGAGAAGCATTGTAGCTGAAGAGTTGTTCTAGTTCTGTTTTTTCAAGCCCAACATGTGTAGTGCTAGTCCAAAGTAGTTGAGCCTGTATGCCAATCTGATAAATTCTAGCTTAAATTTACTCCATGGAGGATACCTTGGCTCAATTTCAAGGCAAAGGTATCTATGCATTACAGCTTTTTCATGACTGAATGTGTCAAAGGAGAATTTCCCATGGTACCTACCAATACCACTCTGTCCAACACCTCCAAATGGTAGTGTATCACATAAAAACTGCACATACAATAAAATGACACTATTTTAGAATGGAGAGAGAATACTATATAGACATCTTTTACATTAATCTCTTCTTCATAAAATGAAAATTAAGTGAGGTAAGAGAATTACTTGAACCAGTGTGTCATTAAATGTGACACTTCCTGAGGATGTTTCTGATACAATCTTTCTCTTGAAAGCTTCATCTTTGGTGAATGCATAAATGGCAAGAGGTTTTGGTTTTGAGTTTATAAATTCAATACTATCCTGAATTTTATTCACCTGTATGAATGACAAGTTAAGAATTCATAAAGATGTTACATTATGTGTGAGAATTGAGAGTATGAACATGAATTGCCGATTCTCACTGTGATCACGGGAAGAAATGGACCAAAGATTTCTTCTGTCATGATTTCGGCATCTAGTGGTGGATCTAACAAGATTGTTGGCTCAATAAACCTGACAAATTTGAAAGTAACTGATTATTTTAATTGCAAAGTTGTCCATTTGTTTTCACTTTGTTTCTCGTTTTATAGATGTGTGTGTGCGAGTTTGGACTGATAGTGAATTTGACATAATTATGGTGTGCGATAGTAATTTTAGCAAAATCTAAACTTTGATTCTTCGACAAAATCACGATAACACTGTGATTTTGTCAAATTCACCATAATTCTAAACATGCACTAGGTGAAATAGTGGAAAAAGAAAACTAGTGGATAGTGATTGGAAGAGAGTCAAAGACTACTCTTACAGGTTTGCTTCATCAACTGAACCACCATGAACTATTGAAGCAGCAACAAGAGGGTCTTTAAGAAGATTGCACAATCTCTGAAAGTGCTGCTTGTTTACTATTTTTGACAGTACCTTTGAGTCTACCATGTTATCACCATAAAATATTCTCACAAACTTCTTCAATAGTTCTATCTAGAAGAAACCAAAAAAAAGTTACCATTAGAATTAAAACTTGATAATAAAAAATAGCTTATAATGTACAATGATTATACCAATTCAGATGAGTACTTCTCCTCAACAAGCAGATAATCGATTCCTATACATGCTTGTCCACTACAGATTCCCCACTTTGCTCCTGCTATTCTTTTTACTGCCATCTTGGTAAAAGAAACTGAATTAGACCTTGAAATTTAAAGTTTTAAATTACAGTACCGTCAAATACAGTCGATAAAACCACAATTGTCGTAAAACCGCTATGTGAGTTACCTTAAAATCTGAAGGATTAGAAAGGTGATCAAATATAGCAGGACATTTTCCACCTAGCTCTAGAGTCACAGGAGTTAAATTTCTTGCAGCAGAAGTCATAACTATGCTTGCCACTCGTGGACTTCCTGAAAATTTCATACACCATGTAGAGATAATTCTGGACAAAAAAGTTCAGTTTGTAAACTGAGATTATAAACAAAAAAAATCCATCAAACCATAAAGGAAATGAACTCGGATTGCAAAATCCATCAAACCATAAAGGAAATGAACTCGGATTGCCTTCGGGCATCAATCTCAAACACGCATGCAGTCAGTATATTGACTGTTGTTAAGATTGAAATCAATCAGACAGTTCGTAGATTTAAACTGTCTAATACTAATCCAATTACTACAACATCAGTGTTTGAAACAGTTAACGATAGAAAATTGGAATTTGGTTGTTATTATGAAAAATAATACCAGTGAAGAATATTTTGTCCCATTGATGTAGCAGAAGTTTTTCACAGACATCTCCTCCACCCTCAATGACCTTTACGGCATTAGTATCCAAGTAGCGAGGAAGAGTATTTGCAAGGAAAGAAGAGCATGCTGGAGCTTGCTCAGATGGTTTTATCACTACAACATTTCCAGCCGATATCGCCCCGATTATTGGATCCAATGCCAACACTGCATACAGTATATGTCAAAACACCAAAGTATGACAATAATCAAAGCATTCTAGAAGAATATTTAGTCACTCACCGATGGGAAAGTTCCATGACGAAAAAATTAGAACAACACCAAGTGGTTCCGGCAATAACTCTCCTTTTGCAGGGAAGAAAAGAAAAGGAATACTGCTCTGCAGTATTAGCAGCACCAAAATGGAAAATAAGTTAACATATATATTTGTGTTGAGCATCATGAGGAAATAGAAGAACCTACCTTTTTAGGAGCCATCCATTTTTCAACACTGTCCAAAGAGTTTTGTGCTGATTTTTCTACCCCTCCAATCTACAAACCAATCTCTCAAGAACTCAGTAACACAGTTTTAAAGAAAACACACGCATGATAAAAATTACGACAATAACCTCATCGCGGTAAGCTTCAACAGGGTGCTTTCCAAGATCTTGGTAAAGAGCTTTAGATATAGCATCTTCATTTTCATGAACAAGGTTAAGTATAGCTTGGAGCTGGTTTTTTCTCCATGCAACACTTTTTGTTTTTCCTGTTTTGAAGTATTGTCTCAACTCTGCTACGGTCTCTTCAACTTCCATGCCAATGTTGTTCATTGTAGGATCAATGTGTTGATTTTTGTTGTTGTTATTTTCTACAACAGTGTCTATATGTTAGACAATATATGTGGAACATGGATTTTTATGGTGGGTGATGGTCTCATAAATGCCTAGTTGGTTGAATCACCTAACACCAACACTCATTGGGAAAAAGTTTATTTTTCGTGTGTCCATTTACTACTTTCCATTTCTCACTTCTTGGTTGCATTTATGGCTTTCTTGCTAGTAGGTTAGAAGGAAGTGAGTAACCATTAATACTATATAAGGTGTATGGATTAAGAAATGGACTGGTTGGCGACTCCAATAATTGTAGGTGGGACTTGGTTTAAAATTTTGAATGAATGATACAAATATTTAAAAACTACTGTTGAATGGCTTAATTTATTAAAAAATGTAAATTATTTTGAAAAATTAAGTGGGACCTTTAAAATATAAAAATGAATGTTATAAATGTGGATGCTCTAAAACCTTCGATGACAATAAATATAGTAACAAAGTGCAACGACCATCCGTGCTTACCATATGATGATGTCATTAAGAAAAGACATAACATATTTGTCAAAAAGAGAAATGACAGTTTTGTGTTTAATATACGATGTATAACATACTATAGCGCGTGTCTAATACTTACTATTCTATCTCTTTCATGTTTTAATTACGTTGATTTTAATTATAAAACTAATGGCTCTTATTGATAATAGGTAATGAAATAGTTATATGATTTGAAATATAATAAATAAATAAGAATAAACTAATAGAAAAAAATAATAAATATTGTATTGATATTTTAAAAGATAAATAATTTGAGATAAATAAAAATATGATAGAAGATATATATTATGAGACGATAAAATTTATTATTTATTGATTATTCCTTTGCGGACATAAAGAGACACACAAATAAGAGTATGGACATCCAAAAATAACTTTGAAATGATATTATTTCATTTTTATTTATAAAAATAATATTTAAGTGTATTTAATATTTTTTATTTGATTTAAAACATACTAACATAATTATTAATATATTCTTAATTAAATTCTCATTCACTAACTACATTATCTAATTAATACATAAATAGTTTTGAAATAGAGAATTAAATATGTTCAGATTTGACGTTTATTTATATTTAAAGTCAATATTTAAAAAATTTTTGTTTATGAATAAAATCGGAGAAAGTATATTATTTTATAATTTTCAATTTTAAAAAAATTATATATATGCTTTTTAAAGATCTATACAATTAATGAAATACTTTACAATGAAACCCATTAAATGACACAATATACCTTAAATTATATATATATATATATATATATATATATATATATATATATATATATATATATATATATATATATATATATATATATATATATATATATATATATATATATATATATATATATATATATATATATATATATATATATATATATATATATATATATATATATATATATATATATATATATATATATATATATATATATATATATATATATATATATATATATATATATATAAAATTTTGAAAATTCCCTTTACTCTTCATGGGCTATTTTTCTTTCGATCTCTTATCCTTCTCGTTGAAATGAGCTTGCAAAGCGATCTCTACCTTTTCCTTATCATTATTTATCTCATCCATCATTTGCTCATGAGCCTCAAGAGAGGTTTGCAGCTCCTCTTTACTCATCGTCACAAGATCCTTTGATTCATCAAGCTACAAACATGTTGTCAAATCTTGGTGTTAAAGAACGCAAAATTTTTGCGACAACATACTGCTTCGTGACTGTTTCTCTACATGACTTCACCTGATTCACGAACCGAGTGATTCTTGTTGTGAAATCGTTGATTGTCTCCTTTTCTTCCATTTGAATCAATTCAAGTTGACTCTTATGAGTTTATAACCTCACCACCTTCGCCTTATCAACCCCTGCGTATGCCTTCTCTTAGATTTCCCTTGCTTGCTTTGACGATTTGCAATCACCAACTCTCAAAAAGTTGTCACCATCCACACATTGATGGATAAAAAACAACGTCTTAAAATCTTTCTTCTTCTCTTCCTTATGTGTTGCTTGTTGTGCAGCCATTGCACCTTCGACAAGAGGATTCACCGCATTCTTGATCACTTCAAGAACATATTAGTAAGCAAACAACTCTTTCATTTGTTTGCATCATTTGTCGTAATTCTTCGCATAAAAAATGTGTAGGTTTGTAGGGATTCTTTCATTGGAGACGAAATTCATGTTGCAAACTAGGTGTTTTTGGATCAGAACCAGGCTTTTAATGCCAAATGTTGGAACTTTGAATCACAAGATTAGTGAATATAAAGAAACTAGAGAGAGAGAGAGAGAGAGAGAGAGAGAGAGAGAGAGAGAGAGAGAGAGAGAGAGAGAGAGAGAGAGAGAGAGAGAGAGAGAGAGAGAGAGAGAGAGAGAGAGAGAGAGAGAGAGAGAGAGAGAGAGAGAAAGAGAGAGATTTGAGGGTGAGAAAAGTTAATAACATTAACTAAAGATGAGAATGCCTCCAAGAAATTTATACAAAAGTTACAAAATGATTGGGAACCAATACAAGCAATTACATAACTGAAAAACACAAAAGCTCAAACCTATAATCGGTTACAGTTGACACTAAAAATAAAAACACTTTCAGTGATAACGGATTACACTCAGATGTTAACCAGTTACACCTTCGAAGTTTTGTCATGTTCTTCAATTCTAAAAGTGAAATTGTTCTTACTATAACCGGTTATACCCCGTATTAACCGGTTATCGCACTTGAATTACTAAAATCACTTTTAACACTTAGAGCGTACACGTCTGGCCATTGTCAACGTTCTTTTATAGAAACCAAAGTCATGAAAGGGTTAATCGATTATAAGCAAAAGAAAATGTCATGGTGACTGTGAGAGAAGAAGTCCAGTGAAACGAGGAATGATATTTGGATTCAGGATGCTCTACTCACATGAAGGGGAGGAAGAATTGGTTTGTTAAAATCAATCGCGCCATGAAGAACAAAGTGAAGTTTGTGGATGACACCATTCTAGCGGCCGGTAGAATTGGTGATGCTTTGATCATTAGAATAGATGATGGATATTCCTTGATCAAATATGTATTATACATTCTAGGAATCAAATATAACCTTCTAAGTATTGGCCAATTTCTTGAGAAGGGTTACAAGATTCACATGGAAACTAAGGGGTTGCACGTTATGAATGCAAATAGTGTTTTGGTCCTTAAGGATCCTATGGCTGCGAATAAAACCTTCAAGTTTGAGCTGAAGTTTATGGAACATAGATGTCTGGCCATAACCGTAATTCAAGAATAGTGGATATGGCACTATCGTCTTGGGCATCTCAATTTTCGAGATCTCAAAGACTTGCAAAAGAAAGGAATGGTAACGAGGTTGCAATTGATTAACATACCAGCTGAAATTTGTGTGGAATATGTGCAAGCAAAGCAACATAAGGGTAAATTCAACAAGGATGTGGGTTGTAAAACCAAGAATCACCTTGAGGTGGTGTATTCAGATGTGTATGGACCGATGCAAGTAAATTCCATTGGTGGCAATAGATATTTTGTCACATTCGTTGACAATCATAGTAGAAAGCTATGGACATACCTAATCAAGAGAAAGGATGAGGTATTTGAAGTGTTTAAGAAGTTCAAGTCCATGGTTGAGAGGAAAAGTGGTCACAAACTCAAAGTGCTCAAAATAGATGGTGGAGGCGAATATGTCTCAAAAGACATTGAGAGGTTTTGTGATCAAGAAAGGATTGTACAACCTTATACACGGCAGAAAAACAATGTTTTCGAAAGGAAGAATCGATCGATCAGGAACATGAACATGGTGAGAATCATGTTAAAGGGGAAGAACTTTCCAAAAGAGTTATGGGGAGAAGCGATATCCACAACTTCCTATTTGTCGAATAGGTATCCAACAAAGACAATTGAGAAGGTAACACTAGAGGAAGCATGGTCGAGATTCAAACCGAATCTGAACCATTTGAGAATTTTTGGTTCTGTAGCATATCAACATATCCCAGGGTAGCTTAGAAATAAGTTGAATGATAAGGGAGGAGTGATGATACTTGTAGAGTATTACTATACAGGTGGTTACAAGTTCTTTGATGTAGCAAAGAGGGGGGTTGTGGTCAACTGAGACGTCATTGTCGATGAAATCAAGGAGCTGCAGCTAAAGGTGAGAAAAGTGTACACAAGAAGGGGGGGGGGGGTTGAATTGTGTATGAGAAAGTTTAATTATTTTTCTTAAACCTGTTTCATAACCTAAAATGTCAAGCTTAGATTCTGATCCAAGTAAGAGGCTGAATCATATCAGAGTCTGACTTTAGAACTTGTTGCACAGTGGAATGTAAAAGCAGAAGTAAATAAGGAGACACAAAATATATCCTGGTTCCTCTCAACCTAAGAGTTGTCCAGTCTCCTTGCAGCACAAAAGCATTTTAATATAATCAATTAGATTACAATTGTATAAGCCAACAGCTCAAGACTTCCTACTAATTCAAACTAGAATGATACTTCCTTGCTTAAGCCAATTGCTTAATACTTTCTGCTCAGTCCCACAGAGAGATACTTCTTCCTCAATCATACCATATCAAGACTTCCTGCTTTTCCCTCAAGCATGAGGCTTCAATGCTTAATCACACTAATCAAGACTTCATTGCTATGCTCTCAAGCATGAGACTTCAATGCTCAATCACACTGATCTAGACTTCCTTGCTCTACCCTCAAGCATGAGACTTCAATGCTCAATCACATTAATCGAGACTTCCTTGCTCTGCCCTAAAGCATGAGACTTCAATGCTCAATCATACTGATCAAGACTTCCTTGCTCTGCCCTCAAGCATGAGACATTAATGCTCAATCACACTGATCGAGATTTCCTTTAAGCACAAAGGCTAGATTCTCTATATTCTCTTAACAAAAGAGTCTTGTATTAACCTTGTGTTTATATGTGTGCTTTTTAGATAAAA